CCACTCCACCGCCACACACACACACACACACATACACAAAAAAACGACTTTTATGGTCAGGTTTTATGGACTGGTAGCAAAGCAAACTGGTCCATTCTTCAGCAATTGTCCTCTCGTGAACTGGGGAGAAAAAAGGCTCCTAATCGCACAGCTTCACAGCTCATACTTCCCATCAATCAAACCTCTCTGTGTGTCCTCGGGATTTGTGCGAGCGTTTGTGTGTGTGTGTGTGTGTGTCTGTTTGTGCTTGTAGACATTCCCACCGTATAGCATCTCAAACCTCTGCTGAATCACGAAGAAAAGCTTAGAGATGGCAGTTCAGACTCTCTTACATACAGTACACTCTGTTCCTTTTCAGATGAATCTTTACAGAAGACATAAACCACCCCCAGCCCACCAGGTCCTCTGTTTAATCTTTAAATGTAAATTGGGCGACAGGTGAATATTGAGAAGGTGAGAGATAAAGGGTAACATCTTCACTTGGCCACTTTATCGCTGCTCCACATCACTAAGAAGCGCCCATTCAATATCATTACCTTTAGCAGAGTGTAGGGGGAAACACAGTCGTGGGTATGTCCTTTTGTATTCATTGGACATACTGTATAGACACCTGCACACACACACGCACACACACACTCACACTCACACACACAATCACATCCAGTTGCTTATCTTTTGAAATAAGAAAAGGGGCTTGTCAGGATGGCACATTGTATGTATGTGTGTTGAGTAAGTGTGTGTGTGTGTGTGTGTGACTAAGAGAGAGAGAGAGAGAAGGGAAGGCAATGTGCATTAGGGCGATTACAATATCAGCCGACTCCAGATGGAGGCAGGAAAATAAACAGTGGAAGAGAAAGAGAGAGAGAGCGAGGGAGAGAGAGCGAGAGCAAGGGGACAGACATCATGACAAGAAGCCTAAGAGAGAGGTTCTATATGTGTGCATTTGTTTGTGTGGAGGTCTGTCTGTGAGCGATACAGTTAGAGAAAGTAGAGTTAATTAGCAACTCAATCCGCATCTGTATACAGAGGACTGAGGAAGCGCTCTGCATGTGTGACAGTGTGTGGGTTCATATTGTCCTGGACGTGTCTATTTTGAGTGTGTACTTTAAGCCCCAGAAACCTGAGTGCAATAGATACAGCAAACCATTTACCCTAAACATATGAAAAAACTACATCTCCCATGACACGGCTGCTTTTAGATTTGCTCTGGAACCAATCTATTATCGGTTCTGGCTAAGTGAAAAATGAAGTTAAAATAATAAGAAAAAAAATGCTAGAAAGGTAAAATCCTCCATGAAAAATTATGAACTGTGAGGCCCTTCCCTGTCGGCCTCTTCTTCACTTGACCTATAAGTCTTATGTTATCCAGAGTAAAAACACAAACAAGGCCAATAAAATCAGTTTGTGGCGCTCACCGTTCACTTTGACATTAAATCAGAGCCTGTAAAGGCCATCTCACAGCTACAATAAAACAAAGACCTCTTGCTTCTGTAAGCACAAGAGAGTGTAGACACACAAGCGCCGCGTATACAATGCAAACGGACACACACGCACGCAAACACACCTACCTGCAAGTCCTTTTTATACCATCGCTGCTCTTTCATGGGCGATGAAATTCAATAAGCAGTGAGGAGAACTGCCCTCTCACTGATAACCATCAATGGGGTTATCGATCTCCAAAAGCATTCATGCGTATGTGCATGCCCATGCACGTGCACGCACACTATAATTCACTCTGGGACTTGATAACAGACAGCTCTGAATAATCAGAAAAGATCTATACATCTTAAAGGAGTGCATGCAACACTGATTTTAGTATCCGGTTCGGCAGCTGATAGTTGCCCCCTGACTGCATTGCTTCAGTTCCAATCTGTATCCAAGGCTCCACCATCTCGATCTTTAGACACATTTCTGCAGTAACAGCAGCTGAGGTAAAAGTGCAGCGAAACCCAGAGAAAAGAATGAAGAATATTGTAAAGTTTTCATGCTGTTCGTGGAGTTAGATAAGAACAGACCTTCTAGATTGACACAGCAGTTATGTGAAAATCCCAAGTAGTAGTAGCGCCAGGAAAGCCCACTTATTCTAAGCACTAAATTATACAATAAACAAACAACCAAAAATCTTTGAGAGCATACATAATTTAGAGCATATACTGTAGGCTGTATACAAACGAGGGAGCTTGTGTTAAGTTAGAATCTGGCTCTGATAGAGCCAATTGAGAATGCCGAAAACATTACAGGTGATCCGGGTTGCGCTGCTTTTGAAGGGGATTGTATTAAACTAGAGACAGTCAGCATATGAACTGTGTTGAGTCATCATCACTTATTCACCGTATAGCAAACCTGGACTGCATCCAAACGTCTGTGTGACACACTTAAAAGAAGTGCTTTGTAACTACATCGCAGCACTGGAGTCTCAGTGTAACTCTGTGCGAGACAGGAAAAAAATCTCTCTAAAAGCAGTAATTCATTGTTTGTTGCTGTGATTTAAATATGCAGTATAAATTGCTAGGAAGCTATTAGCAGCGCTTAACATGAAAAAACAGGGAAAACAGTGAAACCAAAGAGTGTGTGTGCATATGTGCGTGTGTGTGTACGATATCTATGCCACATTGTGAAAGTGTGCATGTGACACACACAGCCTTTCTCAGCATCACTTGTTCAATCTGCCAACCAGAGGTACGTCTACGTGTGATTCTCTGGCTGCGTGTGAAGGCGAGAATAAAATGGCTGCCATCATTTTTTGCAAGGCCGTCCATGTGTGTGAGCAGCGGTCTGATGCATTTGACCCTATAGCCTAAGAGCTGGGAGGAGGAGGAGGAGGAAGGAAGGAAGGAGGAGGGAGAACAGGTGTGAGGCAGGCTGGTGGCTGGGCAGATGGCCCCTGGAAGTGCAATGCTGGAGAGCATGGACCGCAGAGACTTAGCAGCTATCGTTAATACAAGCCTGTTTATACAGTGCACACACATGCAGCACGCACTCACACATGTCCAATCACGTGCGCGCACACACAAACGCAGAGATAACCTGCAAACAGCACTTATCATTTACTCTCCCCTCATCAGCAGCTTTGTTTACCTTTCATTTACTCCCACCCCCCCTCTCTTTATCTCTGTAAACACACACACTCCAGGTAATGGTCTTTTCAGTCAAGTCACTACTTTAATGGAAGTCCCAGTGTTAAAAGGATGGGAAACAAACAACTGATGGCATAATAAATGACAGCCAGAACAACCACATCACCTGGCATGGCCACTGCAGTAAATTATTAGACTAAACAAGGATTTAAAAGAAAGAAAGACAGAATGAAAAATAATCCTGAATCTTCATTTCAATGACTTAAAAGAATCACAGACACAGGATACACCTGCATCATGATATCCCAATAAAATATCTCTTCGAGAGGAGCATTTTTAAACTGCTGCCATACTTTGTTTTCTTGTTGATCAGTATATATCAGTGCCTCTTGCTCATTCTGTACCCGGTCGCCCTTATTTAGCTCATCTAAAGCCACCTCTGATCTGTTTGATGCCTTTGACAGGGCTTAACAAGCGCTCTCTTGGACGTCTACAAATGTGTACGATGCTGTGCGGGAGCATTTGGTATGCCTAAAAAATTGTCCAAAGCCCTATGGTTTTCCAGAAGATATTTTCCTCTCTCTCTAATCTGAGCCGTGAGAACAGTCGGGCATCGACAGCATGTTGTGCCATAGCAGCCTCCCTCCCTAACCCGCATGTCTGTTCTTTTCCCAGTCGGGGGAAAAGATTCCCACTGGAGTAAATATAGCCCAAAGCCTTTAATTTCAACCCTATGCCACTCCATTAAAAGAATGGGGGAAAAAAGGAATCCGTTTTCCGTTTTTTTGGAGATTTTCGGTTATGTGATGATGACAAAGTCGCAGCGGGTGGAGAAGGAAACTTCACATGGGTTTGAGAAGATGCGTTTGAGAGTTGTGTCAGCGCTCCGGATGATGTTTCTTTTCTCTCTTTCTTTTTTGTGTACTCCAAATTCAAAGTCTGAAATGCAAAGTCTCTAGAAATGCTTTCCAGGACTCCCATGCAAAGATTAGAAGAAGCAGCTCTACACTGAACAGAACTGAGAGGCTCAGGTTGAGTTCAAAGTCCTCACGCAAGTAAAACAAAACAACCCCCCCCCCAAAAAAAAAAAAAAACAAACCCAAAAAAAACATAAAGTAGTCAGTAGTAGGATTATTATTGACCACTTGCAGGAAATATTTGTAATATTTGTTTCCGTTTCTGCAGTGAGAATAATAAAAAATGTGACTTTTTATTTTTTAAACTCCCAAGACGTTGTGTATGTCTTTCGAAGATCACCACTTAATGTGAAGATTGCTCCACCTGAAACGAAGGTGATGACGAGACTTGGTCCGTAAACTTAAGTTGCCTGTTGCCCCAGAACAGCTGCGCATCTTGGGCACAAGCTCGTGAACTGGGAGCTGTTTTTTTTTTTATTAAGACAGCAGCATGCTGGTTAAACAAACTAGAAAGCCAACTGTCTTCATTAATTACATTACTAGATAATTAGCAGGCAATAGCCGAAGTATTTTCACTTTCTCTAATTTTTTGAGCGATAAATGTTATGTGAGACACATCAGCGCTGATTGCTCGGTCTTTTTCTCCCATTAGAATGAAACACGATTATGTACAAAACAAACGCACCGCTTCTATGTGAAACAGATCTGCACATAATCTCAGACAATAAAAACATATTTCTCTAACAAAAAAGAAATGCACTCCCTGGCGATTATGTATTTATTTTATTATAATTTTTAGGGGGGTTTGGACTGCAGCGCAGTCTGCTTAATTTACATCAATATATAAATATATATCAAAGTAGAAATAAAACAAAATCTCAGTTAGGTGTGTTGGGTATTTTGTGATATATTTTGTAATTCGGGCGCACACGTGTGCATACGAAGTCACAAAACATTCCAATAATGGGAAATATTAACATTATTAATTAATAGAGAGAACACTTACACTGAAAAGAGGCAGAAATTCCCACCATGCGGCACGTCGATGTGAGAGGGCTAAATAATTTCCAGTCCTTTTGACTCCGCGCAAGGTCCCCTCGATGATCCGCCTGTATCGGGAAGACGAAAACTACAGTCCAGCCAGCTTTCAGGGGCTCTGGTGGTATACTCCCAGCAGCTCAGAAACGTGGTTCAAACTCCGACAAAAGAAAGAAAAAGGGCACCTCTCGACTTGCAATAAGTGATCAGTCACTGGGGATATGCAGTGTGGGAGAATCGGGAATCTTGTAAAAAGCGCAGAGGCAAAGGAGGAGAGATGAGAAACAGATGCAGAGGGAGGATGCTGTACTGCGCAGGGGCACCCTGTCTGAGTTCTTCTTCTTCTTCTTTTTCTTTTTTTAAACCCGTCTTCTTACTTTCCTCCGAAATCCCTTAAGCGTCAGTTTCGATTCCGGAAAAAAAATCAGTTTTTATATGTGAGAAAAAAATCATCCACACACCCTCGGACTCGGGCTCCTTGTGTTCTGCTTCTCCGTTGGCGTGGGGAAGAGGAGTAGCGACACTCTGCCTCCAGTCGGCGGTGCGCAGCAGAGCCAGGTGGCGATGGGCGGGACTGAAGCGCTGCTGAGGAGGAGGAGGTGGGGGCGACTGGGCAGCAGCCAGCATCTGTGTGCCCTAAACAGGTTGGAAAACGCAGTTTCCGGTCAGAAGTGTTTTCTTTAGTGTCTGTGGCATTAAAGGATTTTCACTTGAAGCGAGGTAGCCCCTAAAACCCTAAAAGTCCATTAGTCATTACTGGATAGGTAGGTGATTTTCCAAGTCTGCCGTAATTTACATGCCAGTACATGTATATTCAACAGCATCATTAGCCATTGCAGTCACGATTAGCTTTCATAGTTCAGTTAAAGGGTAAGTCGGACCAGTGTAGGCTACTCTTTTAAAAATATATCCCTCAGGCGTCATCCAAGTGCTTAAAATTCCGAGTTTTTGTTAGGATACCATGCTGAAAATATTTTGAATTTGTATTTTCAATTTGCATGTAAAATGTAACCCAAGTGAAAATGTCAGAGTCTCAAACGCAAAAAACCAAAAACCAAAAATCTTGTTATATTGACGTGGAAAATGTTCTGTAATGCTACTAAATATAGTTCCACAGGTCTGACAGGGAAAAGGATTTTTTTACTTAAACAGTGACAGAAACTTCCACATTAAAACTCTAGGTATGTTTCGACCAATGAGGAGAGCTCTCATGAATTCATGCACAAAGTAAATACCATATTTTTCTGCATTGTTTCTGCATTGTTTTTGCTTGTTGGAGGTTTGGCAGGTGCTCCTTTAACTGAGTAATCACTGAGCCCTCTTCTGCTGAAAGGGCACACAGCGAGGTATCAAAATTCAATTAACAGTAGGGGATAGAAACATGCATTCATTCTTCTTATCTTCTAAATAAATGATCTAGTTTTTTGTTTTTTAGTCTGGGGAGCACTTTGACCACTGAACCACTTACACACACAGTTGAGTGTCATGGACCGAATCCAGCCAGCTGGGTGCTCGAGGACCTGGTTTACGTGTGGATGTCTGAAGCCAAAAAAAAAGAAAAAAAGTAGAGCTGTGTGAGCCATGTCTCCACTTTATGTACACTCTCTCCCTCTTGCTCTCTCTGTCTCTCTTTCACACACACACACACACACACACACACACACTGCACCTCCATCTTTCTCTCAGCTGAAAAAGGCACAAGCTGGCTGGCCTGCAGTAACCTAAGGCAAACACTTTCCCGGGACCATCTGGAAATCATCTCACCCGCAGAGCCAGCGAAAGTACAGAGCAGAAGCTACGTTTACAACTCGGTGATAACAACCGGGCGACTTGAACTGCACGGTTGAACAAGTCATGCACCATTGCCTGTTCACAACATCTCATAAAGCATTCTGTTGTAATCATTTCCATTGTGTTTTATTTTATTCTGCAGTTTTTGTACACTTGTCGTCCTCTTCTATGCATCACTTAATTGCAGGACAGTGTGCTATGACGTGACAGTGTAATGTTGTGTTGTGTCACATTCTGATTTAGGTTGAAATCATGGGCCAGAAGTTACACTTCAATAACAAAATCTCATACTGTGTGTTTTTAATGGAAAACATCTGGATTTTGGAGCATCATCATAACTTACCACATTTGTCAGTTGTGTGCTGAATCTAAAGCATTTAGCGAATTGTTAATGTGAAGCTCGTGAATTCCTCAATGCAATCACCGTGCGGGAAAAATGATGCCATTAATGGCAATCGTTTGCAATAGTTTTTTCTTTGAGTTTTTCTCTTTCTCACTTTTTTCTCTCTTCTTACTCTCATCTATCACTTGTCATCTGCACCGTCACAGGAGTGGGTTGTGTTCTCAAAGGCAATATCGACAGACAGTGTCACTAGCACTCGTGCTGTACTTACATTTTTGCATCTAGGTCCTTTTGCAAGCTTCTGACAAAGGCAATGGGCCAAGACGAGTGATAGGATGTGCGAATAGATATGCTGAAGGTGAGGAATGGAAAGGTAAGGAAGTGATATTGAATGATAATGAGACAGGAAAAGAAAATGAGATGTGAGTCACGATTAAAGGACGGAAGGAGGTTCTGTTGTGAGCGCATAGCTGAATAAGATACGTCAAAGGTCAGAATAGGTGCAGAAAAATGGTGCCCACTCGAGGTGAGCAACCTAATGTGGTCAGAAAAAGTGGCAGAGCTGTGAGGATGCTGTCACTCCTCGCCTATTTGTGTTCTCTAGTTTGCTCCCAGAGAGCAAGTTCTCTCATGACAATCACAGTGAAACATCTTGACAGCCGGAGGCACAAGGATAGGCGTTGAGGAAACCTGCAAGGGAAAAGAGAATAGGGCAATGATCCGTGTATGCGTGTGTGTGTGTGTCCTGTGATAATGGTGTGCGAGAGCAGGAAACACACAGTGCCTGTTTTTGCTGCAGGGGTTCCTGGAAGTCAGCCGCCCAACGTGATCGGCGACATGCATAAACACAAATGCACGCACACACATACACACACAGGATACCTCGCCTTTGAAAGGGAAAAACATGCTGCGTCTGATACATGTGGACACAGACAAGCAGACTTCCTGCATTTTCCCACCTACTGGGCGGCCACCTGTAACACAGTCACACACACACCCACAAACTCTTACAAACAAACACACTCACACACATATAGGTGGGGACAAAGACAGAATGAAGCAGATATAAGCTGAGAGTTGACAGTAAACAAGTGCTATTCAAATCCCATTTATTAACTGGCATTTGATCAACAACGCCTGAAGCCGAGCAGGCCACCGTCAACATCATTAACATAGCTGCTGACAAAGGCAAGAGGATAAAAGGAAGACAACCAATTAAAAGAAAGTAGCTGACTTATTTAGACTTATTTGGATCATTGAGATAAACAGGTTGAGGGTGAGGGCCTTTTATACCATAAGGTTATATAATGGGATTGCTTGTTAAGGATGTGCTTAAATTATGTGAAAAGCAAGAATTTTCCTGAGAACATGGCTTTGCTTAATAAACAC